TGAAGGAGGCATTTCAAGCCTCCTTCCTGAGACATAAACATTATAAGTTTTCCTTTGCAGGTACTAAAATAATACCAGATTCTCTTAAGGTGCCCCCTTCTTATACTTCCTGTTTTTCCCAACAACCTCAGTGTCCACAGGGTAGGGAGCAGGCAACACAATTCTGCAGCTTTAAGGGTCATCTCAATTTTCTTTCCCAGTGAGAATGTTCCCCAGAGTGTCTAGCTCCACTGCAGAAACCAGAGCACACTGACAATTGCACACCCTAAACAGGCTGGTTCTGCTGAGAGCAGAATTCAAGATGAACAAACTGCACAAGTCACGGGAGTCACATTTAGTGCACAAGGAGAGTTACCTGGATAATTTACACTCCTCTATCAAAGTTAAATGTTCCTCAGCGATGCTTATTAGCATGTAACAGGGATGTGTGCTAGGCATTCTGTAAAACCTGACTCGGGGTAAAACATCAGTCCAGTTTGTTAATTTAAAAAAAAAGGAAAGCTACTTTAAAAAAATATATCAATATATTTTATGTACATGCAACATGACAACCTAATTGCTAACCATGCCTCCGTTTTGCATAACTGGTCTGAAAAATCCTCTACTGCTTTGTAACATAATTTATTTACATGTGGTTTAAAAACATTTATGCTGTCATTGCGTGTCTGCCACTGTAGAAGGTCTCTCTTCTCATAGATCTTAGAGTCCAGTTTAGAAACAAAGGCAGGTGATACAAGATAATTAACATGGGAAAGCCTTTAAGGAAAATTAATCACCTTAGTTGGTTGAACAGCACCTGTGCTCTTATGGAGATTGAGTTTGCTCAGAATTTCCTCCTCGAGATGACTAACTTCGAGTCCAGCCCGAAAGTCAGCAACTTCCTCCTCTGTGCTTTTCCCAGCATTTTCTTAAATTATCAGTTATCACTGTGCTGCAGTCTACAAAACTTGACATCAGTTTCTCCCTGTGGTCCCCTCAACACTTCTTAAATGTCCTCATATTCAGGACACAGAACAGTGACTGTCACAGCAGATCATGAGCAAGGAAAAAACTATGCTTTTTTATACACGTGATAAATATGCATTTCTTTCACATTTCTTGAAGTATTTGGTATCTTAAAATCTGAGTTGGGAAGCCAAGAATTGGTTGCAATTTGCAAGCACTGAAGCTATCCCTCTCCCATTAAAATTTGCTGTTTCCAGAGCCACAATTCTGTAGCCAGTTCCAGTAATTTCAGTTTGGCACATAGTTATTTAGCATCCTCTCTGGGGAGTAATTTGTTATTTGCTCAATTTACATTCATAGTCTAGCTAGTCTTTCTCATATAACAAAATGAGACACTCAACTGAGAGCATCACATTTTCCAAAAAGACAAAGACATTTTAGATTTTCAGTGTCTGCAATGATTCTTTTAAATGCATCCCTGAATTCATCATGGGACTGGAAACAACTGGGAGTGATGTAAACTTATAGGAAGTCCTAAAGTATTTTAAGTACATCTGCTAAACAGCAGAGTCCCAAGAGGAAGCATTAATCTTAAGTGCATGTTTGAGTCTTTATAGCTTCATATTTTGAAGAAACTCCATCATGAAGGACCTTGTTATGATTTCTCTCTCTCTCTCTCGCACTCTGTTTCTCTCTATATCTTTCGCTCTCTTTCTCTCTCTCTCTCTCTCTCTCAAACTTCTCCATGCTAAGCATTGCATGATTGACTCAAGTTAGAATTCTTTTGGCAATATATCAAGACTCACTTCTAGCTCTGATACTTGCATTAGGAAACTGGGAGCCTAACCACCTCTGGTGTGTGGTGGGGATTGGCTGAGCAGATAGAGTTCAATGACACCTTGCATGGTGACACTGGAGAACAGCTATCAAGCTGGGATTCTTCAAGCCCAATGTAAATGACATGGCTTTGCTGAGAGAAACCCGCTTGCACAGTGTAGCATTCTAATACTAGGAACAGTAGGGTAAAGAAAATTTGACCCCAAAAGAAATAATACTTCTTCTGATCTCCATCCACAGTTATTACTGCGAATAGATAATGAAGAAGACCAAGATCCAAATTAAGAGAAATAAATCCTTGATTTCCTCTGCTAATAGTGAGGAATCTTGGAAAGTCTAAAACTCCTCTTTGGCTTTGTAGGAATTCATTTTAGCTGCTTATATTCCTTCCTGGTTACAGTTATTGTAAACTATTTCGCATTTTCTTAGCCTTGAGCAAGGAGGAAAAAGCAGGGTAATAATTTGCATGCAAACAGAGAAGAACAAAATTGCGATTTTTTTGTGCAGTGAACTGTAATATTTTTGAACTTTCTGTAGTGAGATTCCACTGTGGTTATTTCATTGAGGTAAGCACTCAACTACTTTGAGTACTTAGCTGGTCAACCCTTCTAAGTGAGAAGTCTGACTTTAACCCTATTGCAAAAGCAAAGAACTTCTAAGTACAGAGCTTGTAAAGTTAGTGCCAACGGTTACTGTTTTATTTTCTTTTGGGGAGGAGAGGGGTTGTTGTTGAAGAAAAGCTCTTTCTGCCCCATAATGCCCACATCCATTCGTTCTTCCTTTCATTCATGTTTCATTGCATTAAACCCTCACCACACATGGCATTTTTCCAGGCACAAGGATACAACAGTGAACAGTGACAGTTCTTATTCTAATGTTGCCCAGCAGTTCAGAAATGAAGGGTTTTACTTCATCTGAGCTTAGATAAAGTAGCAAACTCAGGACACTGAGTTGTTAAATGGATAGGTCCTCTGTGGCAAGTCCCTGGGGTGGCACCAGCTTAAAATTCCAAAAAAATTCCACAGGGCTGGATGTGGATTTCTGTCACTCTGCTCGTGGGTGTCCAGCTACTTTGAAGAAATATTTAACCAGGAGCATTCAGAATCTGTTTCTGAGGAAAACTTGAAACCTATCCTACCAACTCCTAAATCCTATAGAATTCAACCCAAGGATCTCTGACACTTAACGACAATTGGAAGAGTGGTAAAAAATAATAATAATCATAAAAAAGCAGGGTTGATTGCAGCTCCAGATGACAGAACAGTGACAATCTCACAGACAAGGAGCAAATCTTCATTTTATAGCCAGCAAAAAGGTGCCTTCAACATTCCAGCATCTGTTTTCTGTTCTAGTTCATAAAAGACAGTTTATCTAATCCCAGTGAAGTAAATACACAGAATTCTTCTCCAAAATATATATGTTGAGCAATTTGGCAGCTTGGGAGTAGATTTTTGTACTCAAGAGAGCACATCTAAAGATCAATGTAGACATTCTTCTTCCAAAAAGACACCATGGTGCTTGTCGACCTCTCTACAAAATCCCAGACTAAATGTTTCATGCAATAAAATCTCTGCTGCAATGACTCATTTCTGCTTCCATATCACAAAAGCACCTATAGACAACATGTAACACAATATGTGCTCCAGCTATTTACAGATTAACTGTAAATTACATTTTTTACAGAATGAGACAGCTGACCAAGTTTGGCTCAAAGGCCATGTTTGCCAACCCCTGGGGATCTAGGTAAACCTGTATGCCAAGCCATGGTGATATCTCTAATATTTATTTGGCTTCTCTCTTCAATTTTGCATTCTGTTACCTGCTGAAATAAACATGAGCCTGTATCCTAAATGGTGAAAAAGATAATTCTGTGTTTATCATTCAGTATCCTTTGATGATCCATATCCTCAGGCACCAATATTTATCCATCCAAGTGCAATGATTTTTGTCCAATATTATAAACCTTTGATTCTTTTCCTAATGCAAATATTATTTCCCTTTACCTTCTTGTGAGTGACCTTTATATTTTTCTTATCCTTGCTTAGTAATCTTGTTAAACTAACTCTTAGAGCACTTGAGCTATCCAGACGCAAATGCCCTGCCCCAGGTACCTCAGTCTTCAGGGATTTCTCAGTTGATATTCCCATGATTGCTGCATTTATAACATCTGTCAAGGTCAGCGTGTTTCTGTCTGTCTAACAATATTCCCAGTGTCCATGCCTCCTTCCACCACACACCCATACATAACTGAATTCTACTTGAATAATCTGCTTTCTGGATATTTGTCACATAATCTCTATCATAAATTCTTTTCTAAGAGGGCTAGATTCCTTTTCTGGGAGCACAGAATTTACTATAACTATTGTAGTATTCAAAGACTTGATTGTTTCTTATTTTGTTTTGTTCATTTGTTTGTCTTTCACTTTGTTTGGTTTGGGGCTAGGCTCCCTAACATTGGTGTTAATGGAAACCTGTTTAATAGACAAATGAGGAGTCTTTCTTGTGTATGAAATACCTTTTTATTTTCTTAGTTGTTTATTGGAAAAATTGATGTGAGAAACTTTTTTCTTATTTTGCTTCTTAAAATTTTCTCTTCTCTGCATCTTGCTTACCTTTTCTCTGTTTATTGTAGTTTGGCACAATGGATCTTAACTCTAGATAATATGAGAATCTGTAGGGACTGTGTGAAAAACACCAAACCATAAATCCTACCCTTCAAGTTTTTCAGTCAGTTGATTTTTGTAACAGAGAATAGACGTTAGTTGTATTTGGGTTTGCTTCCTTCTGTAGAGTCTGACATGGTGGTAAGTTAGTCGAAAGCTAAGAGCCTCTGGTTTACTACATCCAATTCTTTTCAGACGTCTGCATCAACAGATTAACTTAGAATGGATTGCACTAATACTCCTCTTTCTATTTTGTGTCATTCAAATATAACACCTAACAACTGTCCTAGGACTTTACCTGTCTCTTCTCTGAAAAGTACCATCAAGGTTTAATTCAAATTCACACACACGTACGCAAACATACACACAAACACACACACACACACACACACACATGCACTTTCTGGATTACACCACGTGGAAACAGTAATTAGGCTTTAGTGTTCAGTGTTGGGATCTTTTATTCACTTTATCTTGGCTGACTGTTGTATCTTAAATAATTTTTTTAATGACTATGAAGTCATGTGTATATTACTGTCTTTCTCTTGTTCACAGCACCAGAAGAATGGGCCACTACCCGCTCCAGCTTGAAGGCACCGCTGTCAAGGTCAAGCAGAGGGGGATACAGGGAACACCCCTACGTAGATATTGAAGGTCCTTCTCACCTGTGACCTCACTCAAAGACAATTCATAGCCTGTGGGCTCCACATAAACAGCAGCAAGACAAGTAATAGTCCTTTTTTGTTTGTTTTTTCTGTTCTGGGGTTAACTGCTCATGATTACTCCTATATATTTCTTGTATTTCCCTCTATACTGTTGGCGTGACAGGGACAGTACTGTTATTTTACAAAACAGATTGACAGAGAAATTGGCAAGTGTAGTCTATAAACCATTCAGTAGGATGATTCTCTCTTGGTTGTTTTTCCTTGTTGTGTGTAATCTTTTCTTTTTCTTTTTCTTTTTTTTAAAAGAAAGAGCATGAATCTGTTAACAGATTTTGAGTCTCAACCAACTAGCAGAAACTTGTTTAGGGTTGCTAAAAGACTGTATATGATTTTTGAACTAGCTGATAATAGAGTTGTAGATAAGATGTTTAATCTGTCTTTTAATATCTGTCAGTTAGACGAAGATGTTCAATATTAAGTTTGTAAATTTAATTTTAAATGCTGTTTTAATGGGGTTGAAAACAAGCAGCTACTGTATGTATGTAGCTAACTGAATTTGTTCAGTGTTTAACCTGTATTTGTTAAAAAAGAAAAAAAAACACACATAAAGTTCCATGTGTGCTTCTCTAAATAGGAAAACACCATTTGTCAAATATGTTTGCCATAATTTGTCAATAAAGCTGAAAACTTTTGTAAAAACTAAATTTGGAATTACTTGTTTCTAGATCTAAATGCCTGCTTTATTTCTTCTTCAAGACATGCTTAAAATGTTTACGATTTAAAAATTACAAAAATGAACCCAAGCCTGTTTTAAGATATTTGTGTAATACTTAAAATGTATTAATAACTTTTGGTTGTTAAATAATTTAAAAGTTAAAAACTAAACTGTTACATGAGTCATGGTTAGTAAACACTAATGTATAAACATGTTAATGGGAAAGATGGGTTTAAAATAATAAATGATTTTAAACCATCCTCTAAGCTTCATCTTGCTAAACACAAATTCTGATTGACTTGTTTTGCATTAGCCTGTCTCTCCTGAGAAAGAGTAATGGAGTGTAAAGAGGTAAGACTGCCACTTAGCACCGTCTAAATGCTGAGCTCTTCCACCTTTGAGTTCCCCCACAGTAAATGTCCCATCTAACACATGAGCATCTCGCAGATTCGATCGCTTTCACTCGAAGGAGTGCGTGGACTTCATTTGCATAGTTGATAACAATTTGTTTTGACAAACAAATCACCAGTGTCACTGGCCAGTTGTTGCTACTCAACCTCAAAAACTTTATTTGTAATTTTCAGTGCTAAATATCACCGCCCTTGAAGGCAGTTTAGAGGGCTGATATTTCCTTTGAGACTATCAGACTTGATGGCTGATGATTATTAAGGAAATATGTCGCAGGACTCAAAGGATGACTAAACGTTAAACAGGTAACACTAATAGCAACTCTGTAATTTTGCCTATGCTGCAGTAATGTTAAATATTCAGTTATTAAGTTCCTGATAGTTAAAAAGTAAACCTACAAAACATAACAAATAGGTCTATAGGTATTAAAACAACTAATTAATATTAACTAGAAGCACCAAAATTATTTCACAATATCTAACCCTCAAGGTAATAAACAGAACTAAAATTAACAATAATAGTAATGCAGTTCTTGCTAACATCAAACATAAGCTAAATTTTGATGGAAAAGAAATGAGAGTGAAAGACTTGATGGTAGGGATGAATGGCAAACTGTCCATCTTCTAAATATAGTGTTTTTGTTTATGGTGGCTTTTTGTCAATGTGATTGGTTTACTTTTTTGCTGCTGACTAGTTTAGGCCTAGTGCTGTTGAGTTTTTGCAACTGGAGTTGCATGCAAATAGTTTTATGAAGTGTGTGTTTGTCCTCAATTGAAATTGTATATATTTGCCTGACACAAAATGCCATTCAATTATATTTATTTCCTCTGTCTATTCTTTCTCACTATTTCAGGTACCCACAGGCAAAGAACACATAATTGCATAGCAGGTGTGATGGACTAAGCACAATGAAGGTAAGCTTTTTTTTTTTTTTGTCTTTTTTACTAACATGAAAAGTTGATCAGCATGAAGTTTTAGCAGTGAGCTAAAGCGCTAAATGCTGCTTGTTGAAATGCTGAAAAAAGCTTAGATTGTCATTAAGAACTGAGCTATTTTGAAAGTAGGCTCTGATTTGGGGTTTACCTGCTAGGACTTTCTGAGTTTATTCAAGACCTTGTTAGATGAATTGAGAACAAGTGGCCAGTTCTCAGCCTTTTCTTTGCTATGAACAATACCCATATTCTATCCTCCTTAATCATACAAAGGGCTTAAAACGTACTCTGGGACACAGTAGAAGAAAATGAGAATCCCTGGCATAGGAGAAGGGGAAAAGAAAGTATTTCCCCATGACCAAACCACGTCTACACCCTGCCAGTGAGACTGAATAAAATTACTAAACGTCATGATTATGTTCCAGTGTGTTCCACTGGATTGACCTCCTGTTCTATTTCACTTAGCAGATATCCCCAGTGCCAAGCAGCCCTGGGACATCGAAACTTGATTTCTGCATACAGGGGCTGAAAACATTAGCCAGCTGAAAACCGTGCAAGGAGAGTGAGGTGCACGTGTCAATCTAGCACTACGAGAATGGAAGACCAAGTGCAAGGCTGGAAACAGCCTTCTGCGTCTGGTCCTCATTTTACTATATAAATCTCCATAATTCAGCTTAGTCTTAAAGATGTGCTATAGGAGAGGTCGGAGAGAGTCTGGAGTCACTCCTAGTAACTGTGGAAGGGACAGGGGCTGTGGGGCCCATAGTGGTGGCAGGGATAAAAAGCAGTTCACAGCTCACTCAGAGGGAAGGAAGAAGTGGCTCTTAGGGAAGTTGGACAGGGTGGTGGAAAAGTCGCAGAAGCATTTGGGAGGAAAGGAGAAGGCCAATGAGCCCAGATTCATGAAGGTACACAGAATGCAAAGCCAGGAGACAGTTTGCAAGTCAGGCCCCGATTGTCACTAAGTGCTGAGTTGAATTGTTCAGATTTTATAAGAAAAATAAGAGAAAGCTACCATAGAATTGAAGTAAAGAATGAAAGCGATTCAGAAGAAAACTACCCAAGAAAACAAGGTAAACCTCATGGTTAGTCAATTAACTATTAACCACCTCTTCATCTGAGACAGCTTTCAACATTCAGATTGTTAAATTAGGGGGAGAAATGACCCAAGCCTTGCATGCACATATGAATAATAAAACAATTAAAAAAATTAACTGCCTAAATGGTATTTGTGCTTAAGTCACAGGCCCTTTACTTATAAAACAAAGATAAAAAATTATAGAGAAAAATGTTGAAATTGTATCATTAACTTTGTAAGTCTGATTTGACCATTTTAAATGTGTGGATTTTATAAAGCAACTCTAGTTCAGATATCCTATTTATTATCCATCTATTCTTTTCAACACAAGGCTTGATTCCTGAAAACAATGAAAGAAAACCCACTCTTAGTCTTTTACTATTTTGATATATTAATCGATATGGGTTTTGTTCATTATAATTGTCTGTGGTTGCTGTGGTCTTACAAGGCCATGGCTCTCACTTATTCTATGAAAGAGTCAGATAGGTGTCACAAGTGCAGGCTGCAGAGGCAGCAGGGGACACAGAGCCCCCATGCCACCCAGAGGCAGAGGCTGACAAAGTCTTCCCCAGACTGGGGACAGTAGAGCAAGAGCCATGTACACAGTCCTCTGCAGGGAAGCGGGGATAGACACAGTGACAAGGATGCAGATGTATCAGTGGACCCGGAAATGTGGCAAACAGGGAAGACCACCTGCTCCCTGCCAGAAATTAAATATAACTCAGCGAAAGGGTGGAGGTGAGAGAGAATAAATCCCTTTGTTGAAAGAAGAACTCCCAGCCTAAATTAATCTTAATTACTGAGACTTTTACCACCTGGCAGAGTGGGGACTTGAGTTTGAAATCAAATTGAGGTATAGAAAAAAATATTTTTATATGTACGTGTATATGCATATATGTGTATGTGTACATATATGTAGCAAAGTCATTTACTGCATAGCTTGCTGCTCTTAAAAGAATCAGAAACAAATACTGTGAGTTTCTCTGGCAACAGGGAGTGAAAAGTGCCCTAAATCAGAATGAAAACTACGCAGCAAGAGGTGGTAACAGAAGCACCTGAGCACAATCAGAAATGCCTTCTCTTCATGGTGTAAGAAAACTCTGTGGGCTTCTGTTTGGATACCTTTGTGACACGACGCCAGTGGTGTGCTCTATCTAAACACAAGCTCAAGTTTCTATAACATGTCAGTACACTCCTTCAGGCAATGCTGTAACCCTGGGTCCACTGATGATCCTATAACTACTGGGAACTCACTAAAACACCACAGCTTGGGTACCAACAAAGTATTTTTAGTACCCATAATAGTAATAAGTTAGAAAGTTTTCATGTGTGCTAATATTTATCCAACAAAAAGTTTTACTACACTTAAATGTGATTAAATCAGAATTAATTTGATGCCATTTAAGATCCTACGCACTGCTTCTAGGTCTTACTTGTAATCTTTGGATAATTTTCCCTTTCGGTTTATTAATGGAATCAAGACCACTTAGCTTAATAACAATTCAAGTACTAACAGTTTTTAAATGAAGCTGGCACAAAGTGACTTATAAAAGGTTCTCAGAAATTTTGTGAAAGGAAAGGATTTTTAAACTTCTGTCGAAATATTACTATTGTTACTTTGAACTTAAAATACATGCAGGTTGGTATTCTGAAAATCCCACAGGCCCTTTAAAAATGTAACCTTTGGGCTGGAGGCGTGGCTCAAGTGTTAGACCACCTGCCCAGAAGTGTGAACCCGTGTTCAAACCCGACACCACACACACACGCACGCACATACAACCTTTTATCTATAGCATTCTCTCTGTCCTTCTCTCTGGGTTCCTGTAACATAGAACTTCCCATAGTTTTGTTTTATTTTTAAAGAATCATGACCAGAAACCTGAGTTGGCTGAATATTGTGTTTTAAGTTTCAGTAGGAAAGGACCTGTTGCCAAAAATGTGTTCATTTTCCTGTCTTGCAAGTTCCACCAGAAGGTTGAATTTTTATTGCAAAAACATTGCAATAAATTATTGGAGATGTATAATTGTGCTTTATAGAACTGATTGCATTATTGATGCTTGGTATGAAGGCATTGCATTAATTATGACAGCAATAATAATAGTAGAGCCTTCCAGTTTTTGAGCATACATGCCAGGCAAGGCACTTGAATATTCACATAAAAACTTATATGAAACACCTGAACTTCTTATAAGCACACAGAGGAAATGCAATTATCCCCATTGTACATGGGAGGAAACAATGTAACACTGCGATATGCAGCAAAACTGACATTTAAAAGGAAACTTGGTAACCCACACATCTTCCAAAATTCTGTGGAGATTCCCAACACTGAGTAAACTTGACCTAAATGATGGAAATCCCAGGAAACCTTAACATAATTTCTATTCTGTAGCAATACAATGAATATTCACTTAAGCCTTATGATACATTTTTATCTTGAAGTGAATCTTTACTTTGATCTTTCCTCAAAAGTATTATTCCAAAATTACAGATTCTGTCATAGAAAAAATGTACATGAAAATAACCCACATTTGTGACAAAGCGTGACTATGGTCTTCGGTAGAACCAAGGAATTCATTTATAATCTAAATTCCATCTTGACATTTAAAAACACTCACATGATTAAATAAGCATGAAAGCAATTTCAGGCTTCTATTCTTCAATCAGCAGATCAGAACTCTGCCTTAAAGGATAAGGTCAATTTCAAAACAGAAATATCCTTGTGTAAGCCATATGGTCATGTATTAAGAACACAAGTGAAAGCACCAGGTAATGTTAATTTTTTTAAAAGCATTTCCTGTTGTAATGCAATGTGAAACACTGTCTGGACATTCTGGTTT